TCTCTCTCTCTCTCCTGTCGTTATTATTGTTTTGTTTTGGGTTTGTTTTTGGTTTTTTTTTTTTTGGTGGAACCAGGGATTGAACTCCGACCCTTGCACTTGCCAGGGAAGCACTTATTCTACTGAGTCATCTCTCTGGCCCCAGTTGTTATTATTGTTCATGAATACACCACAAAAGCATTAAAATCAATGGGGTAACAACACTTCTGTTGATTTATTCCTCAAAATCTTCCTCAGAGACTACTATAGGAAATTATAAAAATAAAAATGTATCACTGGCTCAAACAAAAAGCATCCTGAGTAACAATCTTACCCCTAGCCCACAGCATGAAAAACCAGGTTTTAGGATTGAAAATGTAATTCAAATTAATATCTACAATATTATTCCAAGGCAAATGCAGTGCTTATGTTATTTAAATTGATGAGCAAAGAAACATTTCAAATGAACATTAATTATAATTAGTAATAAATGATTGTCTCAATAAGCATACTCAGCCTGAACTGAATTTCATACTTCTTTCACTCATTAAATAAATATTTACTGATCACTTAACTATGTTTCCAAGACTTGTCTCTGCCTATTGCTCTGAAGCCCAAAGGTAGGCGGAAAGGAAGGATAGAAGACTGTAACTTGAGACACTCCATACAATGTACTGGTGTCATTTTGTACCTATCCACTTGTTAAATACCAAGGATGCTGCTTTGGGGGAAAGAGTTTACTCTTAAGATTTATAAAGTCTGTCAAGGAGGAAATACTACATATATCATGGATGCATGCTTTATTCAGGCAAAGAATAAAGATTTATTTACATGGCACCAGAGTTAAAATATGTGATCAGATCCTACCTTCAGTTCATGAAACATGTCAAGCAGCTTCAACAAAAACACACCATGCCTTCACTGAATCCATAAAATAAAAACACTGGACATGAAAACAAAAGCAATACAAAATGTGGTGGTGGTGTATTGCTCACAAGAGTTCCCATCTTATGCTCCAGCACCAAGAATAAAGAGAAACAGGTCAGGCACAAATGGTTCCTTGCCGTGTCTGCTTATCTTGCCTGACTTCACTTGCATGTCACCAAGTTTGCATGTCAGCTGTCTCTGTCTTTAAGCAAAATACTTCAAAAATTTTGGAATTCGTGATCTGAAAATTATGACTTTCTTGTTCCAGAGCTTCAAAAGGTTCTCATCCTGCTCATCTCTCCTTGGTAATACACAATACATTTGCTAAGTGCCAATGCCATAAAGCAGAGAGAAATGAATTAGAGGAGACCCATCACCTCAGAAATCCCCAGAGCTGCCGTGTGTGTAAGACGGTGGTGGCCAACTCTTGTTTCTGAGCCAAAAGGGTGGGAGCCACCAGAAGGCTGCCTGCTGCTCAGTGGAAGCAAGGCCTCTCCGGCCTGAGCCCTTTCATTATTTCATTTTCCTAAGGAATGCCAGGAAACCTTATTACAGCTAACCATAGATAATGGAATAAGAATCCCCTAAAGGGAGACTTGAGAAAGATTTTCTTTATTTTTTTTAAATGTATTTGGTTGTTGCAGGGTCTCACTATGCAGCTCAGACTCATAGTGATCCTCCTGATTTCATCCTCCCCAGGGCTGTAATTACAAGTATGCATCACTATACCCAGACTCTGGCCAGCTCAGCCCATCCTGGGAGCAGGGTTGGTGCAGCATGTGGTGCCGGGGGTGCAACCGCGATCCCTGTGCTTGCCTAAGCTTGCCTAAGCAGGCACATTAGTCCACTGAGCTATCTCACTGGCCCCCCAGGAAGGATTTTCAAGAAGTAAAAAATCATGAGGGCAATCACGTTTATGGGGAAAGTGCTGAAGGCATTCCTGTTGAGTCTAAGAGATTCAGGAGGAAAAAAATGTTTGGAGGTAGGAGATAAAATTATTAGCATTTGAAGATGATACAACCATGTACCAGAAACCCAAGAAACTCAGTTGAAAACTCTTACATAACAGAATTTAATAAGATGGCTAGGTACAACACTAAGGCACCAACTTAAAAGCCTTCAAATACAACTAGACAGGAGACAAAACAAAAGAACTTATAGAGCATAATGACAAATATAAAAAATGCATGAGGCTTACATAAAGAATATTTTCTAAATGGGAAAATACAGAAGATTTGAATAAAGAAAAGATATATCATGTCTTCTATGGGAAAATGCAACATCACAAAAATTTCAATCCTTCTTAAGTTAATCTACACATTTAACATGATCTCTAAGAATAAAAATTGTTAGGAACCAGCTGATAGAGGACAATACACAAGATAATTCCAAAAATAATGTACAATATAAATTAGAAAAAAGTCGCAAAGGGGCCACCTAAACTGCCAGGGAATCTAAACTGTAACATTATACTAAGAAAGTGTGGTCCTGGGGCAATTAC